AAGATTTTCTAGTAATTGATTGGATTTAATACTCAACAATGTTAACGTCCTTTTTATAGTGAATTATCTCTAATACTTCAGTTATCTATTTATATAAAATGAGCATAAATATCTAAACAGACATTTTTCCTCCAGTTTCCAGAAACTTACACACATCTCTACTCTCTCTTCAAATACTTTGATAAAGAGTTTTTGGTTATGGTAATCCAAATAACTATTTTTTGAATACTTAACATGTAATGTATGCGCTAATTAATTTCCTGTTGTAATTTATTTAATAAATTAGACTTTTATTTAAATGTAATATATTTAGATAAATAATAAAATAAAATAAATAAATTTACAAAATTTAAATTTTAAACTCAATTCTCGTTTGTTTTCATTGATTTGTATAAAGTTTTTAAAATTAATTTAATGTACGACCGGAACATCTCATAACCCATTATTATATTACTACAAAATCCAATTAAAAGTTGCTTTTGTTGTTAATTATCTCAACAGAGTGGTACACAAAAAGGTATTCTCAAACTCCAGGTGCTGTACAAAATTCGTAACATAAAACTTTACCAAAAATTCAACTAATTTACAAAACTTAAAGGGAATTAAAAAAACACTTTAGCGGTTAATAGCGAAAAACACCGGCGGCTGAGATGACACCGAAATATATGCAAAATTTTGCCCACTTTTTCACGAGTAACTGGTTGTGACATAAATTGATATAAATATGGGTGAAATCATTACGAATATTAGTGCTACCCATCCCATTTCCACTCGTATACGGCATACCTGTCCCTATCTATCCCTACCACTCGCCTTTCATAATTAAAACTGATTTTTCTGACACAATATTCAGCCGACAAAATGAGTTCACAAAAGACAATGCATTTTAATTATTATTTTAAAAAATAGGAGTTTTTTATTATGTTGTTTGCGAACCGACTGACGAATTCGTATTGTATTGTATTTTAATGAATTAATTTTCATGTATACAAAAACAGCTTTATGTGTTTTTTGCATACCTTTCCTCTTCCTCATACTTTGCTATTTTATTTATTTCTATACATTTTAGTCACTCTCTTATCTCGTAAGTCAATGACATATATATAAAAGAAATAATAATTTTATTGTTTTATATTAAAATTTTGTGCTAAGATTTGTGAAGTATTTAAATTTGTGTTATTTGCAGCTTAATTGCCAAATGATTACTAATTTAGAGTTTCCGCAAAATTTTTGAAACTAATTTAAATTAAGTTTTTTTTCATGTGATTTAAAATCAATTTAACGCATTAAGCGAATCCTTTTTTCGCAGTATTTGTCACAAAATTGTGACATTATTATTTTTTATGGTAATACAGGTAATCTGGTTGTCAAATGTTTTGGCAATTATAGCCGTAAATGAGTTCTCATTAACAGATAATTATAATGTATTTAAAATCGCATCCAATTTTCGTAATGAACTTGATTTTTGTTATGAACTATATTTTAAAATCCTTATAATATAATGCGATTTGACTCAAATATATTTAATAGTAGGTATGATTTAGTTATTTATACTCTATTTATAAAATTATTTGAAAATAAAATATAATTTTGTAAGTAAAATAAATTGGCAGAGAATTTGTTTGATCACATTTGTTGAAACTGTTTACCGGTACTAATATTAGCATTTCAATGCAAATAACATTTTGTCACACCTTTATTTGAGAGGTATTTTTATATAACAGTATTTGACTAAATAATAAATGCAAGAAATAACTTCATTATCAGTCATAAAATTCCATACATTTCTGAATTCATCAGAATTGTGACTATGTATCGAAATATTTGTATGAATGCAATGCAAAACTCATTTCATTTACGCTATTATGTTATTATCAATAAATAGGAAATATATTTACTATTAAAACTACTAAAACTACTGTGAATTAAAATTAGATAATACACTTTATTCAACAAAATCATAGTCAATGGATTGTAGATTCATTGATACTAATTGCGAGCTAACTGTTAATAACGTCATTGTTAGCGCGAGAACTTCATAATGAATTGAAACAAATATAAAGTAAATCCTTCACAAAATTCACAACAGTCTTCACTAAAATCAATCAAAATTCTTAATCACATCCAAAAACCTCTGAGAAGTCAATTGATCCCAAACTAAGACACATACAGACAGTGGGCACACCATCAGCACCGGTAGCAGCGATGCCTACAAAACTCAATATCTTATTGTTCGCGTCCATCACAGCGACGATTGCCATCACAATAGTCGTGTTCGGCGTTCAGGGGGTCCGGCAGTTGGTGTCGGGGGGCGAGTGTCGCGATGTGTGCGCCTACAGCCAGATAGTCTTCGGGGTGACCGGACTCAGCGGCGAACTACTTGTGGGCGTCCTATTCCTGGTGGCCGTCGTGCACATCATAGGCTCCCTGTCCGCGTTCAACCAGTCCTACATCGGACTCATGGTATTCGTGTCCGCCTACGTCCTCCGGTTCCTCATACTCGTCATTATGGCTGTCGTGAAGGGCGTGTCGGCCGGCACCGGGGGCTCGCAGGTGTCGGCGGCCGAGTGGCGCGATTTGCTTCTCATGATCGACCGAAAGCAGTCCAAAACGGCCAACGATTTCCGACTACTGGCCACCGGCGGACAGGTACTCCTGTTGCTGTGGTCGCTGGCGCTGATGATGGAGTTCCGGATGTGGGCGCACCGGCGTATCAAACAGTACAGCCTTAATATGATACTCAACTCCTGGTTCCTGGAGAGACAAAAGAGTCGATTGTATTGATTGTCTGGTCGACCACTGCCCGGGGAAAGGCGTCTGAGAAATGAGAGTTTGATTTTTTTCATCACAATTGAATTCATTGAATAAAATATGTTATTACTCTTGAAGTTAGGAAAAGTTTATTTTTATTGAAATTATGGTTTTTAGTATGTTTTTAGTGACCATTATATGCGGTGATTGATTGATTGCTTAAGATATTCCTCGTGGGTATAGTGTGTGTGATATAAATGTCAAAGAGTTTTATTTCTGATATAAAAGTTGAAATCAATTTCAATACAATTTTTTATGCTTCGCTTTTTTGTACTTTTATTTGGGATAGAGATTAACAATCAATCGATTATTATATAATAGGTTTGTGTGTGAATTGATTTCCAGTTTATCCGGGAATACGAGTCACGATTTCGGTGACTATTTTAAGGACAGAAAATACATTTTTCTATATTTTTTGTTGTTTTTAATTTCGTGTGCGAGTGAGTAGTCTCTCTCTCTCTCTAATGATTTTTAAAAATATTTATTCGCAAAAACTTTTATTTTTATTGCTTTTTATCAATAATTTATTATCACTAACGCGAGGATTCAATACCAGTAAACCAGAAATAAATGTAAAGTTTTTGTTTCAAAACAAAAATAATTAAATTTTTAATGATTTAATACTTCCTTGAAATGTCCCAGATATGAATCGGTATGAATCAATATACTGTATGATTATGTGATAGTGAATGTTTTTTATATAAATAATTTAAAGTTCATTATAAAGTGTCTGAAAATTAATATAAAATCTATAATAAAGTCGACAATCATTATGAGGAGAGATGTCTGAGAAAATAAACAAAACTCTGAACAAAAATTCAGATTTTGTCGATACTTATAGACAAGTCTTACGAAAAACTGGTTAACCCTTTAAAAGCCATATTAAGATTAAATTCTTGAAAATTTTGTTTTTTGTATAAAGTCTTTGCGAACAAATGTGAGGTTATATTATATAATATTGCTTTAATATGATCCGAGTCCCTAATCTATGGCTATATCTTATTTGTGATGTAAGTTTGAAAAACAAAATTTAAGTTCACATTAAGAAATTGATCGCTTATTTAAAGGTTAGATAATATTTAGATAATCTTTTCATGTTGAATATGTTTTTCATTTTATAAGCATATCATAAGCAAACAAATTATTGAAATGGGAATTAGTATTGCATTTAAAATACATAATAATAATTGTTACAACATAAGTTTATGATGGATTAGTTATACAAATGTAATGTATTTAATATGCAACTTTATAAATAAAATACAATAAATTGTATATAAAATTTGCAAATAGAAAAATAAAATACAATTTTTAGGTTTAATACCCGTATAATTGGATAAAAATATTTCTATAAATAAGTGTCAAAATAAAATTATGCATAAAAAACTTTTCAAACATAATCATGGAATTAAAATGCAAACATTTGACACATTATTCAAATGAAAGTACATTTATTATCATTAAATATTTGGCCTTAATTTCTACAAACAATTTTTAAAATGCAATGAAAAATATAAATACAAATTATACTCAACGCTAAACAAAGTATATACAAATTGAGCTATACTTTAGACTTTTATTATGCAATACATACAGCCCTTGGAGTACGAAATACCTGTATGTCTGGGCATATCGTATCAAATACCTGTCATACATGTCTCGATCGCTTCAGACATGTATTAAATATAATACAATAAAATAATTTTTATGTGTTATACCCATAAACTCCATGAACATACACCCATTAGAGGGAAAAATAATAGATTTGTGCATGTATCGACAGCACATGAATTATAAATATTTATTTTACTTTTGCAAAAATTGCAATTTGCAAATGAAAAATACATTTAAAGGTCTGGGAGTACACCGTCTGATGACAATTATGTTGCACTACAGTTGCAATTGAGTGCATTTATTATTCAATGGATATTCTGGATATTTTATGTTTTAAAAGTGCACGTGAACTAAACTTATATAGAAACAAAAATTATTTTTTAAAAATACATGTAGACTACTGTATGTTCAGTGGGAAAAGTTCAGTAAGTCTTACAAATGCATACAAATATTGATTAGATTGAGAATAAACTACTCGTAAGAAAGCATATAAATTATCAAAAATATATCATTCAATACACGAATGTTTCATAATTTCATAACTTTTTTGAAGTCAAGGCTACGGGTGTTTGCGAATTAATTTCAATGCCTTTTTATATATGATATCATATTTTATAATTATTATCATCGCATTGAAGTGATATAAGCGTTCAAAAGTATTTTTAACCAACATTTGCCTAAGATTTTTATATATAAAATAGCGATAAAAGTAATTTTTACAGACATTTCTGTGTGACTTAAAAATTTGTGTCATTTTTAATTCATTAATTAATTGGTGTCTAAAAAATATTTACCCCAAAAATGCCACTAAAAACCGAAGTTTATAACAAGGCTCACAATATCAATGAGTATACCCTGTCGAATAGCACCGGTGGTTTAGTGGTGAGGATTATTGACTACGGAGCCACTATTACCCACCTATTTGTGAAGGACAAAAATGGTCAGCCCAGGGATGTGGTGCTGGGTTGGGACGATTTGGACGGCTATCTCGGCAATAAGGGTCGCAACCCGTACTTCGGAGCAGCTATTGGTCGGTGTGGTAATCGGTACGTACTCTAAGACCTAATAAATAAAGCATTTTTCATGTAAATTGAGTTTTAGTTAATTAAATACTATTCACGCAAATAGCATAACAAACGGAAAGTTTGAATTGAATGGACAGACCTATCAGTTGGCACTGAATAACGGTCCCAATGCTCTTCACGGAGGTGTCAAAGGGTTTGACAAAAGGAAATGGACTCTAATCGGAAGTACTGATGACTCGATTACTCTGGAGTTGATATCAGAGGACGGCGATGAGGGCTATCCGGGACGGCTGAGAGTGGCGCTGACGTACACCGTCACCGATGATAATGAGCTGCGATTGGAGTATACGGCGAGACTGACGGACAATCAGTCGGTGGAAACAGTCGTGAACCTCACGAACCACTCGTATTTCAATCTGAATGGCTGTACCAGAGGTGAGGAGTTGGATGTACTCAACCATACCGTGCGGATGACAGCCACTAATTATCTGGACATTAACGAGAACTTCCAGCCGACCGGCAAAATATTGTCCACCAAAACGGATACACCGGTTATGGACTTCGCCACCGGCGACGGCCAGCCCCGGCATACCATCGGTGAACGCATAGCCCAAGTGCTGCCCAACGGTTACGATCACTGCTATGTCATCGATACGGACGACAAGACGTATAACATCGCCGGCAATGAAGAGATCCGGGAGGCGGTGGTGGAGGTGTCGTCCCCTCTGACGGGCGTACGGCTGACCTTTTCGACGACAGAACCGGGATTCCAGTTCTACACCGGGAATAACGTGGGTTCGGGTCAGACCACCAAAACAAGTCAATCGTCGCCGGCGTTGGAGTTGCGGAAGAATTCGGGCTTTTGTTTGGAGTCCCAGCGCTTTCCCAACGCTATAAATGAGGGGAAATGGAGGCCACAGGTGCTACTGTCACCCAACGCCACGTACAGCCAAACCACGGCTTATAAGTTTGGCTTAATTTAGATTTAATGGGATATAATGTGTGCAAAAAAAGTTTAACTCAAAATTAATTGATTGAGAAATTTATTTCTTTTCGTAAAAGTCATGTAAAAGTGATATAAGAATGTCGTATAAATAG